ACAGATGGGATAGGTAAACAACATAAGCTGTTATTAATCAGGAAAGTTTGGCTGCTGTATTCTTGGAAAATAGGTGATTTTAAAGTTCATGCTTTTAATAAACAATGCAAGTCATCTCAGTAGCCTACGTATTGCTGCCAATGTAGAAGATGAATTTCAATTATCATGCAAGTGAGTGAGTAAATACCTCCCTTTAATTCAGTTCTTGCGGTCATGTGAATCCTATGTTATATTAAAGCCTTCGCCACATTAAATACAGTTTTCCTCTTGAAAGCTAACCTAATATATAATGCCAGTTATACATTTGCAAGCAATTTAGCTGACATAGTGTAGACTTAGAATTTCAGCTTCTTTAAAGTTCAACCATGTCATTTTTTATGGAAACCACAGTATGAAATCCAGAGAGTATATGTACTTGTCATTGTTAAGTCCCATTTGTGAGCAGACAATATTCAGAAACCATGCTGAAACTCTGCAGTAAGGAAGTCCGTATTATTAAATGTCCTCTATAAATTTATCTTTTCTACAGTGTCTTTGAGATATGCATATACAAGTAAATAATGTTGCCACTAACCCCAGAATAAGTAAACTATGAATATTTAATTTTGCAGTTGTTTTCTTACAATGCTTTGCTAATATAGCACTAATATAAGTACAGTGAAATCATTTTTTTTTTTTAAATAATTACTTTTGCAAAATTTTGGTCTTTATCAATTGCACAGTTAAAGGACCACTAAAGTCATAATCTTTGGGAGTATACATACTAAACAGTGTTTTATCTGTATTTGGATTTTGATTTGCCCATGTTGTTTGTTTGTTTGTTTTTTTAAAGTCTCAATTTAATTATTTTGTCCAAAACATATATCAACTATTTTTGGATGTTTTTGTTTTTGTTTTTTCAAACTCATACGAAATTCAAGCAGCCAAATCGGATAGATGGCTCAGCTGTTTGAAATGAAACCACTGATATATATGCTTCATTAGCCCATCAATCTGACTTTTTTTTAATAGCTAACCTGGTTAGTCATTAATAAGCAAAGCTTATGGGGATTAATATGACCCATATATTAGCATAAGAGAGATCTTATACCTCCCTTATGGCCCCACTAGCAATGCTGTTGGAGCATATCTACTAAAAAGTGAGCAGACTGTGCTTAGTGGTAAACACCAGACAGTTAGTCTCCATGGCCAGTGGTTATTACATTAGAACGTGGGTGTGGAGGGGCACTAAAATGTGTGGTGAGGATCTTAATTAAATACTAAACTGGGCAGACCTAGTGTCTCCTCTGCCCCCCGTGGTCAGAAGGTAGGGACTATAGTTATAAAAACCCAGGGGCACCTAATGTCTCCCTCTGGCCCCCACCTGTAGGCAGTGGGTGGAGACTATAATTGAAACAGCCAGCAAGGTCATAATGTACACACCAGCTACCACCCATAGGCAGTGGACATGGGCTAATAATATTATGATAACCAGGGAAGTACTAATGTAGCCCCAAAACCCCACCTATTGGCTGTTGGTGTGGACTATAATTAAACATAGATTACATAGTAGACATGCTATTGCCCAACCCCCAAAACTGTGCCTGTGTCTCCAAGTCCCTAGCCACTCCTCTCCAATACAAAAACTCTGTATACCCCTTACCCTATTATTATTGGGGGGCAATAATTCTAGAAACTGTAAAAATAACTGTACTTAACATCCAATGCCTTCTTCTCAAATATTCTCTCTTAAACGTTTCTTCAGGCCAAAGTAAAATCCATACAGTTGCAATGCAAGTCATAAATAAAAAAAGACCAGATCACAAAAAAAAATGTGACGCCTTAAAAATAAGTCCAAGGCTTTGTAAGGACTTTCCCACGGTATGCAATCTCAGTCAGAGCGCTCTGATTGAATGGCTTGTAACTGTTGATAGATGGATTTAGCTGGAATATAATCAAGGTCTAAATTTTAAATTCAATTTGAATTCTCACTTTGATAAATAAACCCTTTGCATCAAATGAATTCAATAGTTGAATCTATTTCTAGCAACAGCTCCTCAAATGTGTGGGAATTGCAAAATGTATACAATTCAGTTTTTTAGGAAAAAGCACTTGTTATATTAGCAAGGCTATAGGGGCAGCATCTAAGCCTCAAAATCACTTTGTCAGACATTCTATACATGTATTTATATATTCTATTCTACATCACTAGGAAACACGGATTCTGGTTCTGCAAAGTGTATGAGAAAATTCGTAGCATTTTATATCCATTACTTTTTTATGTTACATTGAAGCCTTTTAAAATATATAGGGCATGGGCGAAAGGATGGTAGGATATTAAAGAGACATCTGTTTCTCGTACCTTCGTATAATTCTGTATAAATATATGGATGTCTTGCGAATTGTAAGAACTCAACATGAAACGGTTATTTTCTTTGAGACAAATATATCTACATCTTTTCCATACCACCGCTATGTAAATTGGAAACATAAATTGAAAGCGACTTTATATTATACATTGTATATAGGTGCAAAAACTTTTAAATCAATAGTATTTTTTTACATTTTTTTTTTTACTTTGCCCACTATATTTGTTCAAGATTTAATTGTTAAAGTAAAATAACCCTTGAAGATAAAAGTACAATGATTGCACATATATAACGAGATGAATAAATGTGATATAAACTCTGGTAGCCATTACAGTAGCAAGGCTAATATTTCAGAACACAAAGCACTTTGCATACCATGTGACGGAACATTAATTTGAGATACACCTGTACATTTAATTATAGCACTGCAGAAATTAGTGTTTATTGGCTTGCTTGTCAGCACTTTGGCAGCATAATGGACAAAACATATACTAAATTGTGCGGTTCAAATGAATGGGACATAAAGGGACTAATTTAGTATTTAGAAACTAATCATAAAATTGGCAGTAGAACAAAAATGTGATCACTTTGACTGTGTTATTTGGAAAAGTGTATCCTTATTTATATCCAGGTGATAAATATTGAATAAGCAATAATGGCTGATATACATTATATAGTGAAACAGTTTTCAAGGTTGCCAATCAGCCTTGCCACATGGGGCAAGTACCATGCATCTTTTACACATATAACTCATTTTTAATCATTGTAATGCAGCTACAGAAACAAATCTGAGAGCTACTGGTGTAATGTTAAATATGAATATTATATCATCTATAGAGGCTAAATAATATATAAAAAAAAAACATAGCAGCAAGAAACGGTTAAGAGGAAGGGTAGTAGTTCCATTGAATTGACTTTCAGTGGAGGTGGCAAAGGCAAAAGTAAGAACTAATTACATTTATTATTCATATGTAATATGAGTTAATTAGCTCTTATCTTCTGTCAAAGTCAATGCTTCTATGTGACATACCGACTGTACCGAGTTTTACGTTTAAATTATAATCGCAAGCTAGCGTACATCTGCATCACACCTTTTTTTTTTTTCTCTCCACTCTACAGGGCCTGGAGAATTAATTTTGGCTTCTTCTATTCAACTGTGAAAATTAAGTGGACCCTCTAGTTTAAAAGAAAAATAATAATTATTTAACAGAACAATTACGTCATTTTACATATCTGGGGCAGGCTTTGTAATGCCAGCTTCTACGTCACCCTTCTATTTTTATTAATGACTCAGGAATGATACCCTCAAAACAAATTCGCTAAAGTTTGATGAAGGTTTTAAACCACTTAGATAATAGTTTCAAAGTCTGTTATTGCTCTTCCACTTACCAACTGACTTCACTTTACAACTGCAAATTAACCCCCAAAACACTGGAGAGTTTTAATGTAGATTGAGGTTAAGGCCCCTCTCCCCACCCCACCAACAGTGTCCTGAATAAAGGGTTAACTTACCTTTAATCCAGTAGCAAGAAGGTCTCTCGCTGCGCCCCCAAGCAATCCAATGCTTCTCCTGGAGAAGCATTGGGGTGCACTGTGTCTGTATAGCAACCGCTCTGCTGTGCGTCCAAGGGAGTCACGAAGAATAGGCTTCTGCTTTATACTTGTCTGATAGGACTGGAACTGCAAGATACAAGGTCCAACACACTTGCTTATTAACTAAACAGCAATTTGAAGTTTTACAGAATAAAATAAAATAGTGGGGGTTTAGTTACAGTATATGATCACACATTGCATAAGCCTGCCACAACGTCAATGTACCCCATTCTTGGCAGGTCCTATTCTAGCAAATCAATGCCTGCTCTTATGAGATTAATCCACTTACTTGGGAAATATTTCCTCCTGGGACTCTCTAAGGGTAAATAGGGCCCTGTTATGAGGCACCTGTGACAGGGAGGGGTGCAAAACCAGAGATTTGGCCTGGGCTCCCAAATATAAATACATGAAACCAAGAGGCTGCACTCACTTGAACATGAATACATTATAGGGTGCTGCTGGGGCAAGTTTATACAACATACAAGATCCAGCGCACTCGCTTATTAACTAAACAGCAATTTGAAGTTTTACAGAATGTAACGGTTTTATTTAAAAACACCTCACCTAGGCAAAAAATAATGGCGATGTAAAATAGATTAGCGAATGTTATATGTCATCCCATTCACAAGGGTTGCCGCAGCTCTGAGTAAAATAATAATAAAATTAAAAAAAAATTAAAAAATAAATTAAAAAGGTGGGATGTTCCAGTCGTGATTCAGATTTTTAAAATCATGCAATGGGATGTAACCATGGTGCTGGACTTTTCCCAATGTTAAACGATGAGTCCCAAAATATAAACAATAGTCCGCACAATCATGGGTGATCCTCAAATAAGTCACAGAGAAAATGTAAATATGAAAAAAAAAGTACACTTTTATTAGTAGAAAAATATATGTAGACTATGAGTACACGGCATCAAACTGTCATGGCAGCCCTCATAATTACTGTTGGTTATACAGGTATGACATAGCGTACAATTTACATGGTGTGTTGAAGTGGCATAAGTTTTCAAGTATAAGCAGCACACTTAGGCAGAAAACATAAGACAGCTACCCGATTGAAAAGGTCGAGCAATAAAGCCCTGGACGTGTTTCGCTCCCCCTTGGTGCTTTCTCAACAATGATGTTGAGAAAGCACCAAGGGGGTGCGAAACACGTCCGGGGCTTTATTGCTCGACCTTTTCAATCGGGTAGCTGTCTACTGTACTTTTTCGATATATAATTTTTCTTTTTTTCTTTTTTCTAATTTTCTGCCTAACTTTTCTGCTTATACTTGCAAACCTATGCCGCTTCACACCATGTAAATTGTACAATATGTCATATCTGTACAACCTGCAATAATTATGAGGGCTGCCATGACAGTTTGATGCCATGTACTTATAGTCTACATATATTTTCCTACTAATAAAAATGCGCTTTTTTTCATATCCATTTTTCTCTGTGGCTTATTTGAGGATTAAACCAAAAATACACAGGTCACCAACACAGAATAATAGACATAAAATGATTATGTATATTTGTGGGCAGCTGCACACAACACACGAGCGACTAGAATACAAATAATCGAATTTAAAAAAGAAGTGTGAGCACTCCTAGTAACAAAATGTGTCCATATGGTAAAAATTCAAACCAAGATTTATTCAAAGGATAGTAAATATATAACGATATAAAATAAATAATTAAACATCTATTTGAGGATTACCCATGTTTGTGCAGTCTATTGTTTATCTTTTGGAAAAAAATTATGGGGGTTTAGTTACAGAATACTGGAACCGCACTCATCCAAAAAAGCCAAAAAGAGGGTGCTAACCAAGCACGGGTCAGCACTATCCCTGTACACAGTAAATCCAAAAACTGTACACCAAGGCTCAATATCAGGCAGTTTACACAATGTTCCAAAAAAAATGCCTAGTATTGAGGTGTCCAAAAGTTTTGGGGATTTCTGCTTTGTATTTTGGCACAAATAAATCAGGAAGATAATCCTCCTGAATGTGATTTATTGCTGTTTGATTTGTTACTTTAATACTGTGAAATCATAAACTCAAGTTGTATTGAATTTCTTAATTATTATGTGTATATATTTTTGGGTTTGTGGGGCTACTACATCAGTTGTGGCAATGTTATCCAACGTGACAATTGTTTAAAAATGATTAACTCTTTCTGGAATATGCCCTATAGTTATAGTTCTTTATGTGCCTGTTAAGAATTGATTTTTAGGACCCCTAGTCCTTAACCAATGGCCTGCCAAATATAAGTAGAAACATTTGTATCACAGCTTGTAACTCAATTTCTTTCCTATGATCTTTACAGAGATTGCAGGAAATACAGATGACATACCCCTGGTTCGCTGGAGGCAACAGTGGCTTGAAAATGGGACTCTGCTCTTCCATATACACCACCAAGATGGATCTTCTAACCTGCCCGGCCATGAAACTACCGATGCCCCTTCAGGGGAGACTGGAGAGGAGGAACTAAGAATACTCCATATATCTGTCATGGTGAGACATTCACTAATATCTAATAAGCAACTAGGACCCCTTAGCTATTGTCTGGGTAGGACACAATAGATACAAACTCACTGGTTGTCAGAGGCACAGAGCTAAATGGGGAACAGCGTTCACCTTGCCTGTGGCAAGATCATAGACGTAAAAGTTATAGGAATGAAACAATCTATTCTTGGTTTCCATGGTAATTTCTTTACTTTTATTGCATTGCCATGGAATTGCTTTTTATACATAACAATCTACTTAATAGTGATTTGAGGTGAAGATGCCACCAAGATCATAGTTCACCTGGAACAATATTATCCAAGTGCCTAATTCATGGTCATCTCCGTGTCTGGATGAGGTTGACGACTGTGATACTATAGAAACAGTGTGATATCGGCAGGTTGCACAGCTCTAGCCTTCTTATTCATTAAAACCATGAATAACATCCATGTAGATAATGGATTGAAATCTGTAAGATTTAACTCTTTTAAACTCAAGCTCTAGGTAACAATAATAACATAACACCTTTTGTGTTATACAGTATTAGGATATATATATTTTTTTAATGCTCTGTATTTCATTGCCTTCATTGTGGCAATTATTAGAAATTATGGAAAAATTTCATTTTTCACCTCTTTCTTTTAATATGTATTATGTAATGTACTTGACAAATTGCATTTATCAGAAAATGAATGGAGGGCACTTTTAGCCTCTAGAATACTCTGTATGTGTACGGAGAGCCTTGATTTGCTTTTTGAAAAGATAGACATAGAAAAAAACAAGTGCTTTGTATGAAAGTACCATCTTTTCCATTTTTATTTTTTATTTTTTTTATAATGCAGAGGTCAAAGATTATTATTTCAATAACATTTTACACTATTACTTTATGAACATGATGAATACAATTCTTTTAAAAACCCTTTCAGTTCGGAGGGCTGAATGTTTTTTCTAGTATATTATGAGCATAGTTGAGTCTATTAAAGGTATTTATTTAGTGAGTAGTGAGTTGACTATGGACTGACCAAGCAGAAGCCAAAATAGGTACATTGGGGAAAAAATCCCATTAAGCTTAAGTGCAGATTTTTCCCAACCGACCATTGTAGGACAAAGCTGGACAGTCAAAATGGAGTTTAACTTCTTAAATTGCTTCAGAGCACTAACTAGAGCAGAGGTTGGCAATATTAGGCACTTCAAATGTTGTAAGCATTATGAGAAATGTAAAGAAAAAGACAAAGGAAACTGTGTATAAAAGGCGCTTATAGAATATTGGAAATCGTGTAGATGCTACAACACTCTTGTGGGGGTCCCTCACACCCACCTCAAATTGTAGAAACTAGAAGAAAGGTAAAAAAGTCAAAGGCAGTTCATCTATATGAGTGGAGCATACAGTGATAGTGATGGACACCTACCCTATAACAAGGGTCGTCTAGTCCTGATATTGTAGCAGTATCACTTTCATTTCAGCATATTTATACATAGAAAGAAAAACATATACAGGGAAATAATAGTGTAAATCTGTGTGGTAATTAACAGTTGTGCAGTGATCAAAACATAATGCTAACTCACATTTTTTAGAGCCTAAGATGGGATATGCTCAAATCACTTGCGTTTTAGTACCATCTGGTGGTACTCGTCCCCTTTTATGAAAGCGTTGGTGGAATCCCTCAGAGATAAGAGATACAAGGAAAATATAATAGGAGATAATATAGTGTAATAACTTAGGTGATGAATGTGAGTATACTATATCTTTAAATAGATGCTCACCTTATTCAGAGCCAGGTAGTTTCGGAAGTGAAGGATATTTATGGGACATTTTTTACTTTGTTTTATTTGTTTTTATTTTACTGCCTGCTGGCAAAATAATTTTTTATTTTTTATCAAAGTTGTAAAGGATCCTTGCATTCGTGCAGCGATTATCCTTGCAGCTTCTCCCGAAATCCAACTGAAACGAAGTGATTATAGCTCCCAATCCCCCAAACATGAGTCGAGACTTCATGAAGGGGTAAAACGATCTGATTTACTGTGGGCTACCTGCCCGGTATTTATGCAGGTCTTCCACCTGGTGGACACTCCCCTAGGGGACCAGATGGAAGACTGGGACAAAAGTAACACAGTAGCCAATCACAGTGGCTATAGCATAAGCACTCCCCTTTTACATAAATCACTCCCTCTTTTCCATCCTGGAGATAATTAACTTAAGGTAGCAAAGAGAGCCTTAATTATCTCCAGGAAGAAAGAAGCATGGCTTTTCTTATTTAGCAAAACAGAATAAAAATATATAACTTTCTTTTTACACAACATAAACTTTAAGTTCCACATATCCCCAGATAGCTTGGATCTGAGGGCATATTCTAGGCGAATAGCGCTCAGATCCCACGAACACAGTTCTCATAATCGTCGACCGAAGTTTGACTTTCACCGGCCGTTCGTGTGTTTGCAGCCAACTGCAAGTTCCATACTATAGCTATCTGGGGTCGGCCACTTTCGCATTTATTGTTATTTCCACGAAATCCCGCTGTAATTCTCCAAATAACCTAACAGGCTTGTTCGTATAGTCTGTAAATAGGGGATTTCGTTACACAGCTCCCCCTTAGTCCCATGGAACGGCATACCTGCTTAGATCCTAACGGGTCGGCTAAGGGATGTCCGGTAGCACAGGAGAAACAAACAAAAATAACTACTTTTCCAGTTCAGTTTGCCGGGACAGGCCATCGGCATTGGCATTCTGTTTCCCGGGGCGATACTGCATTGTAAAATTATAGGGTTGCAGTGCCAAGCTCCATCTGAGTAGTCTGGGGTTATCGCCAGCTACTCTGTTAAGCCAAATTAAAGGGTTGTGGTCAGTCAGCACTGTGAAAGAGCGTCCATACAAGTAGGGTTGTAGTTTCTTAAGTGCCCAGACTAATGCCAGACACTCTTTCTCCACGGTGGCATAGCTGACTTCGCGGGGTAATAGTTTTCGGCTCAGATACGCCACCGGGTGATCCATGCCATCGTCTCCCACCTGGCTCAATACTGCTCCCAGTCCAAACATTGAGGCATCTGTGTGGACGAGAAACCTTTTAGTATGATCATGTGCCGCTAACACAGGAGATGCACTTAACGCAGCCTTGAGTTTCTGGAACGCCTCCTCACACTCAGTGGACCAGACTACTTGTCGGGGTAGGGACTTTTTGGTGAGGTCTGTCAAGGGTTTGGCAAGGGCACTGTATTCCGCTACAAATTTCCTGTAATAACCTGCGGTGCCCAAGAACGCCATGACCTGGGTTTTCGTCCGGGGTTGAGGCCACTGGGTGATGGCCTCAATCTTAGCGGGCTCTGGTCTCTGTTTTCCTGACCCTACTCTGTGACCTAAATATTGGACTTCAGCCATGCCCACGTGGCATTTCTCAGGCTTCAAGGTTAGCCCTGCATTCTGAATTCGGTTGAGCACTACTGAGATGTGCTCCAGGTGGGCTTCCCAAGTGCCACTGAAGATAGCTATATCGTCCAGGTAAGCACAAGCGAAGCCCTGAAATTCCTCTAGGAGCCGGTCTGCCATCCTTTGAAACGTAGCTGGGGCATTCTTCATCCCAAATGGCATAACCTTAAAATGGTATAGGCAAAATGGGGTGACAAATGCCGATTTTGGAATGGCCTCAGGCTCCAAAGGGATTTGCCAATATCCCTTGCACAAATCAATAGTGGTCAAATAAT